TTTGTCCATAGTCAGGATTATTTATGCTATGCGGTGCTGCTGCTGCTCCATACTTATATACAGGACTGTCTACAGAAAATTAGAATATTGTGATAAAGTTCTTTATTTTCTGTAATGCAATTAAAAAAACAAAAATAGTCATACATTCTGGGATTCATTACAAATACAACTAGAAATAATTGCAAGCCTTTTATTATTTTAATATTGCTGATTATGGCATACAGCTTAAGAAAACTCAAATATCCTATCTCTAAATATTAGAATATCATGAAAAAGTATACTAGTAGGGTGTTCAACGAATCACTTGAATCGTCTAATTAACTCGAAACACCTGCAAGGGTTTCCTGAGCCTTGAAAAACACTCAGCTTGGTTCAGTAAACTAAATCACAAGTATGGGGAAGACTGCTGATCTGACTGCTGTCCAGAGGACCGTCATTGACACCCTCCATCAGGAGGGTAAGACACAAAAAGAAATTTCTCAAAGAGCAAGCTGTTCACAGAGTGCAGTTTCAAAGCACATCCACAAAAAGTCTGTTGAAGGGGGAAATGTGGCAGGAAACGCTGAACAACCAAGAGAGATGACCGCAGCCTTAACACCATTGTGAAGAAGAGTCGCTTCCAGAATTTGGGGGAGCTTCAAAGACAGTGGACTGAAGCTGGAGTCCAGGTATCAAAAGTCACTGTTCACAGACGTGTCCGGGAAATGGGCTACAATAGCCGTATTCCCATGGTCAAGTCCACTTCTGAACTCAAGACAACGGAAGAGGCGTCTGACTTGGGCTAAGGAAAAGAAGCACTGGACAGTTGCACAGTGGTCCAAAGTCCTCTTTTCAGACGAAAGCAAGTTTTGTATTTCATTTGGAAGTCAAGGCGCCAGAGTCTGGAGAAAGGCTGGAGAGGAGCAAAATCCAAGTTGCTTGAAATCCAGTGTGAAGTTCCCACAGTCAGCGATGGTTTGGGGAGCCATGTCAGCTGCTGGTGTTGGTCCACTGTGTTTCATCAAGCCCAGAGTAAATGCAGCTGTGTACCAAGAGATTTTAGAGCACTACATGCTTCCGTCTGCTGAAAAGCTCTATGGAGATGAGGCATTCATTTTCCAGCACGATCTGGCACCTGCCCACAGTGCCAAAACCACCAGTAACTGGTGTACTGACCATGGCATTACTGTCCTCGATTGGCCTGCAAATTCCCCTGACCTGAACCCCATAGAGAATATGTGGGGTATTGTGAAGAAGAAGCTGAAAGACACCAGACCCAACAATGCTAATGAGCTAAAGGCCGCTATTGAAGCATCCTGGGCATCCATAACACCTCAGCAATGCCACAGGCTGATTGCCTCCATGCCACGCCGCATTGATGCAGTAATCCGTGCAAAAGGATTCCCAACCAAGTACTGAGTGCATTAATGGACATTTTCAAATGTTTGATTGTGTTTTGCTGTTATAAATCTTTTTTTTTTACTTGGTCTGAGGAACTATTCTAATTTTTTGAGATAGGATTTTTGAGTTTTCTTAAGCTGTATGCCATAATCAGCAATATTAAAATAATAAAAGGCTTGCAATATTTCAGTTGATTTGTAATGAATCCAGAATGTATGACATTTTTGTTTTTTTTAAATTGCATTACAGAAAATAAAGACCTTTATCACAATATTCTAATTTTCTGAGACAGTCCTGTATACACTTGATATGATCCCTGCATCCAGCCTACTTACTTTCATCGTCTGAGTCGAAGCCAAAGAGTGCGGAGCAGGTGTTGAGGGCTTGGTGTTTCTGGAGTTCCTCCACGCTGCTGAAAGAGGAGAGACATTTGTCGCAGCGCTGCCTGACCTTCTGAACCTCCTCCTCCAACTGCTCCTCCTTATTTTTCCAGTAGGTGTTCTTCTTCGTAGCGACCTCTTTGGGGGCCCTCCTCTTGCGCATGGAGAGCCGGGCTTCATCCAGGTAGGTGGAGGGCGGCGGCCGGATGAAGGGGGCTTTGACGGAAGTGGCGGAGTCTTCTGGTTTGAACGTTTTGTGCTCGGTGATGTGCGGCTCTCCTATTGCCTGCTGGACTCCCTCGGACAAAGTGGTCAAGTCCTCCAGGTCTTTGACGTTCAACGCGTCCACCTCGGAGGGCACTCTTTTCCGACGGCTTTTCTTTGGAGTGGCTCCACCAGAACCAGTGGACTTCTTTCCTTCTGTCCTCCTCGTCCCCTGCTCATGTCCGTTGATGGTGGATTTAGTGTTGCACATAGGCTCATGACTGACTGTTTTCTCTGGGCAGTTATCCGGCTGATAGCCGTCTGGGAAGTTAGTTTTACAGTGCTGACCTTCAGTTTGAATTTCTCTGGAACCCTCGACATTAGAGGCCTCCTCCTCCCTCTGCCCCTTTTTACTCTGCAGCCACAGCTCCTCTACTTTCACCCTCTGCTTCCAGGGGGCTTCAGCACTTTGCTGCATCTGTCTGCCGTGTCCCATCTCCAGCTCATCTTTCTGAGGCGCTGGGATGTAGTGTCTCCATTCGTGCTCATGGAGCCCTGTAATGCTTGAGAACAGCTTCTCGCAGTCTGAGAATGGACATTGAGGTGTGAAGGGCTTATGGGTGATGACGTGGTTCTTTAGTTCCTGCTGTGAAGGGAAGCGCTGCTCACAGCCCTGATGGTAGCAGAAGTGCAGCAGCGTGGTGTCGTGGAGCTTCATGTGGTCTTTATAGTGCTGCACAAACTGGATCTGCCTGTGGGGGGAGCACAGTCAGGATCATACGAAATATTGTTAAAAAAAAAAAAGATAAACTAAAAAAAAGAAAAAAAGATTAATGTTGAGAAAATTGTAACATTTCAAAAATAACTTGTACTTTAGCAAATAACAGTTGTGATCCTGTATTATTAATATTATAATAGTCTGGTATCCTAAAAAGTACCAAACCCCAAAATACATATTTTCTATTTTAAATGTATTGCTACTTATCAATCAAGACCGTTTTGGTGTGAGTGTTGGAGAAATCCAACACAGAGCTTCCCGTTTCCATCAAATATCAAGGAGCTCAAAGAACCAAAACTAATTATTTGAAGGACACAACAACAATGTCTCTTTGCAGAAGTTATGAGCCAGTTACTCAAGATAAATCACAGACCTTGCGGTGAGCAATTTCACGTAGAAAACATTTTCTTTCTACCAAAATCAACTTAATGAGTGACAAAGAGATGCTCATCCATGAGGAGCTGCATGCTTCCTTGTGCACATGTTGGTCGGTTGCCTTTTAGTTCTAATATTACCGTCATACCTACAACTGATATCCCCGACACTGAGCAATTCACACCAAAATAACTTTAGATTGATACGTGGCTTTACAAGTAAGAGCAAAAATAAAACAAACAGATTTGGGAGTGAACTGCTACTTTAAGTCCGGAAGGCAACATACATTTGCTCATGTGAAAAGCCATGTGTGGTTGATGTCTATATAAATACACTTAACAAGTCAGTTTTCACCATCCCTGATTTACATTGCCACTAGATGTAGCATTGGGAAATGTTAGATGTTAACCTACGAGTCTTTCTCACCTGAGGCATATGGAGCACTTTTGTTTGGCCCACACAAAGGTCTTCTCCAGCACCTTCTCTTCGCTGATATGGCATTTGATGGCGTGCTTGGTTAGTGTGCTGCTGACCCTCAGGAAGACTCTGTCACAGGTCTCTGAGGGACACAGTTGGTACGTGATGTCCACACTGAAGCCATTCTCCTCCTCTCCCACCCTCTCCCTCCCCACCACAAGGGGGTCCTTCACGATCACCAGGCCATCTTGAATGACTACCTGCTCGTCCTTGAAGTCTACCTGCCTGTATATATTAGCGTCAGGGTTTTTGCACTTCTTGTGAAGCACAGCTGTCTTTTTGATGAGGGTGCGCAGGTTCCTGATGATTCGATCTTCCCTTTTGAGGCTTGACACTTTATATTTCCCCGCGGGTTTGGGTTCAGGAGTTTCCTCATTGGAAATGGAAGTAGTGTTTGTATCCTGATGCTGATTGTCCACATGATCTGCTACACCATTAGCAGCAGGAGCGTCCTCAGTGCATTGCTTCTTCTGTTTGGACATTTCATCAATGTGGTCCATGACATGCTTTTTGGCAAAGGGGAGCTGCTTAAAGCGTTTTCCACAGAGTATACATTTGAGTTTCCTACTCTTAAGGTGCGAGAGAGCATGTCTCATGACATTCAAGCCTTTATAGTCCTTGTGGCAAATGTTGCAGTGGTACATCAAGTGGGCATATTGTTGAGAACGCATCATCTGGTCCTTCCATGACCTCTTGGATTTCACCTGGAGAAAAGAGACAACAGAATGAGTGCTATGACATTGAAAGAAAAGCCAGTAGAATGTCAGATAAAATGTGTTGTTCTCATTTATATGCAGTAAGTGTTCTTCCTGAATAGCACACACATTCCACAGAAATATAGCAAGTTGCTGCTAATGCATAATGCAACAAGAAAAATACAACTGAACGTGATTTCCCAAAAAGAAAAGGCCTGCATTATGAAATTCCTCAGAGGGCAAAACAAACTGACCTCAGTGTCCGTTTCCTCCTTGGGTTTTGGCTCCTCTTCTGTATTGCCATTAACCTCGTCCAGTGCCGAGGATTTTGGGGGTTTCTCCTCATCAGGCTTTTTGGATTTTAGAGAGTAGCTGTGTAACGCTTCTATTGGACAATATTTGAAGTATAAGGGAGGACCATCGAGCTCAGGATCGGCTTCAACAGCCGGAGCAGCAGCTTGAGGTCCAACAGGAAGACAAAGCTGGGTTTGAGATTCCTTTTGGGTGTGTTCATGGAGAATGCTTTTACAGTCCGAGTCTGGAAGTTTCTCAAGTCCATTTTCCCTCTGGAGGTCATCCATCTGCTCAAATTGATTCTCTTCCTGTTTGCTCGTTTGATCAAGTTCATTCTCCAGGTGAGGCATGCCCGGCTCTTTGTCTTCCGTGTCAGTTATCTCCTCAAAACCAGACTCTTCCTCTCTACGGGATATTTCATTATCAGGGTATGAGAGTTCCACTTTCTGTAAGGGCTTCCGCCCACGCCTTTTCCCTTTGTATATGACCTTCTCCTTAACTTTGACCGTGGTCTTTTTAACCGTCTGCAACTGGTCCAGCCTCGGGAGACCCTGCAACCATCGCTTCTTCCGACCCTTCCTTTTCAGAATTTGGCTCTTCACACACCTAGCAAGATACTCCCTCTTGGGTTTTAGAGGGACTTTTACGGAAGCTGAATTTTCCGTTTTAATGTGATTGCGTCTTAGTGAATACATCGTTTTATTGCCTAAAGAGGTGAGTTTGAGTTTGTATTTGAACTCTGGATCATCTACAATTTCGGGTTCATCGTCAGACAACGATCGGTTTCTCCTTCCAATCTTTTTTTTCCATTTTCTCCTCTTCAGAAGATTATTATTTGACGGGGCCACACACTTTTCTGTCTCTTCAGCCACAGCCTGCACCTCTGGGAGGTCTCGGCTCACAACAGCAGTCTCTGCGGCCTCAGTGCACCGACAGGGATTCAAACCTGGACTGCATGATTGGTTTATACACTTATTTATGAACAACTCTTCCCTTTTTTCCTCCTCTTCTTCCTCCTTCATCTCACTGAGAACAGCAGCCTTCATGACGTTGTCACTTATCAACTCCAAGCAATGAGTCCTGATGGTCAGGAGGTTCCAAAACTCCGGGTCGAAACACAGGCGCGCCTTGAGCATCTGGAAAAGAAAGATGCAGCATTTTTAGGCACAGATTATAATGCTATATATAAAAAATAACTATACATGCAGATCATATATCTTCCTCTGACCTGCAGGATATGGAATCGCACGCTGGTCCGGACCGGGCTGTTTTGGGGATGCGGCTCCTGGTCGGGATGATTGTAAAGCAGGCAGACAGTTCGGTAAGCTTCCAGGCTGCGCTCCTGGCAGAACACCAGCAGGGCGCACGCTCGACAGATCTCCAGGTCGTGAGGCAGCAGGAAGGCGATGGTCTTGCAGGCAAGAGAGCGGGTCACACTGTCAGCCTGCATGTCAGCCAGCCGCAGGGCCCTGGCACAAAGCTCCACACACACCTGGACGCTTTCCACTCCCAGCTATCCAAAGGCAAAAGGGTGGTTGAACAAGATGAAATGGTAGATAAGAGCATCAAATGATTAAGACTTTTTCATTTCGACTTAATTACAGAACACGGAAGATGCTAAATGTTTTCTTTTCGTTTGTCCTGAGAAACACAACATGGTAAAAAGGTGATGCTGTGATGTGAGTCTCACCTCTGTTGTGACCAGTTTGATGAAGGGGAAGATGGCTCTGACGTTAGTAGCGGAAGAAGCTAACTGCAAGCACTCAGCCAGAAAGCCATGTCTGGAGAGATGGGCCCGGAGATGCAACCTGCTCCAGATGAACACCAGGTCCCTGCAGAAGGAAGTGCATGGCGAGCACAATATATCAGTAATATTTTAATTAAGAAAACTCTTTTCCTAGCTATTCCTATTTCAGCAATCAAACAGGGGGAACTGAAACAATCAAAAATGTCTAACTGTGCACCCTGACACCAGCTCCCCTTACTACAGGATAGGGCTGCACGATGTTGAAAAAAACTGACATTGCAATATTTTTTTCCCCTGCGATATATATTGCGTTTTTTTTAAACTGGATGAAGGATTTTAGTCACGGACCTCTGGATCTTAACTGGTTGACTCATCATACCTTAAGTCATGATCTAACATGTCATGATAATGCATGTTGCTTACCCTCAAATAAGGGGGTTCATCTGTGAATGAAGAAGAGAAGAACCTTTTTGAATCCAAAATAGTTCCAGATGGCAGATGTTGCTTTTCTTTTTGGAAGTAAATCTTCATTCTGGCCGGTATTGTCCTCCTCTGCCTCGCACATCTTTTACCTGTGTTTTGATGGTCTGCAAACTAGCGGGGCGGGGCCTGCTGTGATCTGATCAAGAATGATTGTGATTGGTGGTTTGCTGTGCATGCAGAGCCTGCATGTCACTCACTCAAGTACCCCTGACATGAGAGCCGTGAACGTTTTTTCCTTTTGTAGCAAGCAGCAAAATAATTGTAACATGACGTGTTTGAGTTAATTTACCTACTTAATTACACACGTCCTAAAAAAAGAAAAAGAAAAGATTAATATAAAACATTTATAAAATCGCACGTCCCTGCGATGTGAATATCGCGCATGCGCATATCGCGGTTATCTCCATGACATGATATATCGTTCAGCCCTACTACAGGATGTATCATAAACTCTGGGGAAATGACAGCAGTGTTAATTTCGTCAACGAAAAATGTTCGTCAACAACCTTTTTTACATGACTAAGACGAGACGATGACGAGCTAAAAATAGATTCTTGATAACGAAAACTATGACGAAATGTATATTTAGTTTTCGTTGACGAGACGGGACTAAGGTTTTGGACCAAGTGTCCATCTTGTCTGTCAAAATGCATCTAACGTTTCTAACTTGCAATATCATTATTTCCGCTCTCTTTACTCCAGACGAGCGATCTCCCTGTGTCTCTGTGTGCGGGGGGCGGGGCCTAACAGACATGCTGCAGCGGACTCACAGACCTTCCACCCTACAGAGGCAGAATAATCCTCTAAGGCAGGGGTCACCAACCTTTTTTAGGATGAGGGCTACTTTAAAAAAATAAAGCAAGTCTGGGGCTACTTTTACTCCTCTTTTTTTGTTTTTTGCAGTGTATATATTTTATATTTATATATGATATGCTTACCTTTAACCTTTGTGTGCTGTTTGGGTCTGTGGGACCCGTTTTCAGTGTTTACTAAAAGAAAATGTATGCAATTTAATATTTTAACCTGCTTTATTTGGGGGTGGACCTCACATCCTCTAGGGGGGGCCTCACATCCTCCAGGGGGATCAGTTTGAAAAATCAGCTAGCTTTTTAAGTAAAATAAGTTGAAAAATCAGTTTTTAACAAAGATATGAGAGACTTGGTCCCCATCGGTTGTGCCACGGGCGCCCGTGAGTCAACGGGCGTCCCCGTTCACTCAGCGGGGGCCGTACAGATTTTTTACGGCGTTGTTTAGGTTTGTTTTTCTTTACATTAAATTTATTAGTGAGATAACGTATTTCGCTTTGGAGCGATTTAGTATCGCTTGAATAGATGAATGGATGTTGAGATATAGATAGATTGTGGGAGAAGGTGGGGTGTTCTTATAGCTGTTAGTGCAAGAACGATAAACGCTGGTCGCAACGTCAGCCTTTCTTTTCGTTACACCGTGGAGGGGAGACTAAAAGGAAGACGGCTTAGATGTGTTGTGTAGTCGGGGTAACTTGTCGGATAGTACGGTCGGATATGTTGTATATCTCGTCTCAAAATGAGACACACACAACATTGAACGTAATATATTAAATAAGGTGAACTGTGTGTCTGTGTGTCTGTGTGTCTTGTGTGTGTGTGTGTGTGTGTGTGTGTGTGTGTGTGTGTGTGTGTGTGTGGTTGTGTGCGTACCGGATTAGAGGTGACCCCCTGTCCCCCCTGTACAGGGGGCCGTGAAAAGCTTTTAGGGCAACACAGGAGGGTGAAATGTTTATAACAATAAATAATACAAATAATTGCGTGTCTGGGCAGCAGCGGTTATACGTATTTATGTTTCTTTCCTTACCGTTAATCCATTTCTATTCTTATTTGCGTCAAATTTTTACTAAACAACTAACCAACACTATTATAAGATTTCTACTAACCTCATGAACTTTTCATATGTCGAAGGGAAAGTAGACTCTACAAATCTCGACATAGAGTATTTTAAGTAAAACATTCGAGTTTCGACGTCCGTCTAACCATCGTAAAGTGAGTTGTA